AAAAAAAAAAAAAAAACTGAAAAGGCATTTTCAACGACTAGTAAAAAAGTGGCAGTTTTCTTGCAATTTATTCTTTTAACAAATGTTCATTAAATGTCTTCTGTGTACCGCAGATACAGTAGTAAAGAACTGCTGTGACCTCAGTCATCACTTACAGTGCTCAATTTCAAGGTTTTACTTTCCTGTTTGTCTTGGTTTTCCTTCTCCTATAATCTGTTGTTCAACCTGAAATCCTTGTTAGGTCTGTGGGATCTCTGGGACTCGGGGTAAGAGACCAGGCAGAGTAGAACACGGTGGCCTTCTTCCTACAGATGAAGGTGTTGGATTTGCTCAGCACGTCCGGAACTGCACCCGTACTATAGGTCAGGTGCAGGTAACGGGTGTGGAACGCAATACAAAGAGGTCTCAACAGAAGAACTCTCCAGAGACAGAACGGGCTGTCGGGAGGTTCAGAGCACCCACACTGAAAATATTTACACACGACTTTCCTTCCGAGATGGACATTCTGCGAGGCCATAGATGTAAGCACTAAAACCACCCTCTATGTCCATTTGACAATAGTCCCATCTGTTTCCAATTTAAAAAACATTTTTTTTAATAAAAATTGGCCGATTGTAATATATTAAATTTAATACATTTTAGTTGGGTGGATGAAGTAGTCCAGTGAAACTGAAGCATACATAGTAACTGAGGATATTCTACTTACTGGTTTTTTTCACATGACTCCATCACTATTCTATGTTCACTTGTGGATTTATGTAACTGGTTTTCTTCCATCAGAGGTGGGTGATCTACCCAGTCTCTCAACATGTTTGATGCTAATCCCTGGAAATCCTATTCCAAACCATAACCCAGTCAAGACTGACTTAATCTGAAAGATTTTTTTGTTAGGTAGAAGGTGACTCTTTTTTACAAGGGATTATTTTGGAAGGAGTAAAAGATTCACCTTCTATTTGGACATAGGTTAATTCACATTTCTTGTGAAAGACAAGGTATCTTAGCTTCCAAGATTAATATATAAACCTCTCATGTCCAAATTACCACACTTGGTACAATCTATTGTGAGCTGTTAACAATATAATCTCAAATTCTGAATTGCTCGTGTGTGAATCATAACAATGATTTTCACAGGGGCCAACCAACCTCTAGGAAGGTATTAGGAGAATTTATTTTTCCAAATAGAACCACAGTTATTTATAAAATTATTAGATATGCCTCAGATATATTGTGGAGAAAACTCATTGATACTTTAATCTTTTTTTATATATTTATGATATGATGTATAGTTCAAAAGGGTCTTTGGAGATCCACTAAGATTGAGATCTCTGTGTAGAATTATTTGATAATTGTTTAACAAATAACTTTTATTACTCATTCTGTTAGCAGAGTCCAAATGGGATAGGAGGAGGGAGGCTGACTCGTTCACCATCCCTTCTGAGCAGTGTGATCATATGGGACTTGGGAGAAGAATCTCCGGGTAATAGGGCATGCTGCTACTCCCTGTGATCTTCAGGAAGGTTCTTACAAGAAAGAGACCGTGGGAAGCTGGACAGGAGCGTGCATGTTTGCTAAGAAAGCCTGCCTGGAGCCATACTAAACGCTGTACACAAAAATTATTTCAAGATGGATCAGGAACCTAAATATAGAAAAACAAAACTAACATTTCTTATAGAAAATATTCATGACCTTTGGTAGAGAACAAATGCGTAAGAGGACACAACACAGATAACCATAAAAAAAAAATCAATTGGATTTTGTTCAATTAAGAATTCCTGTTTATGAAAAGATGTCATTAAGAGAGGGAAAAGAGAGATTCACAATACTTACATCTACCAAAGGACTTGTGTCCAGAATATATAAGGAACACTCTCAAATCAGTAAGGAAAAGACAACCCAGTCTGAACAATGAGGACGTGACCTGGATAGGAACCTTACAAAAAGAGAAAACCCAAATGGACAATAAACCTATTAACAGGTGCTCAACATCATTCCTCCGTCAGTTTCTTGATTTTAAAAATCTCGGCATGGACCTCTCACAAATTGGGACCTCCAGCTTGAACTCCAGACTTTATATCCGACTCAACATCTCTACTTGGGTGTTTAGTAAGTGACTCAAACAACATATCCAAGGCACTGGCTGTTCACCGAATACCAGCTTATGCTCAGTCTTTCTGATCTCAGTAAATGGTAACATCATCATTTTAACTACTTGGGCCAAATGCCCTGGATTGATCTGAGACTTTTGTCCTTCAATACCTCTTATCTAACCTGTGAGAAATTTTTGTTAGTTATGTCTTTAAGATCTACTTGGAAGCCAAACTTCACAGCACTTTACAGGTTAGCAGTTTGGTTTAGGCCACCACACCCTGTTCCAGACTTCACTGCCCTGCACCATTGCCTGGCTGCAATCTACTACCTGAAGAATAGCTAAGGGGGTCCCTTTTATGATGTAAGGCAGATCATGGCATTTTTCTGCTCAAAACATTCCAGTGCCTTGCTACCTTAGTCTAACAGACAAGGCCCTCCCTCACCATGCACTGTGTTATTGATTCAGATGTGTCACTCCAAATTCATATGTTGAAGTCCTGACCCCTATCACCTCACAATGTGACTTCCTTTGGAAATACGGTCGTTAGATGTAATTAGTTAAAATGAGGTCATACTGGAGGACAGTGGATCCCAATCCCAAATGACTGGTGTCCTAATAAAAAGGGGAAACTTGGAGACAGACACACATACAGGGAGAACACCGTGTGAGGATGAAGGCAGAGTTGCTGCCGAAGATTGCCAGCAAGCCACAGGAAGTCAGGAGAAAGGTCTGCAGCAGATTCTCGGTCCGAGCCTCTGAAGGAACCAACCCTGGAAGACACAAGACACCTTGACCTTAGACGTCTGACCCCAGAAATGTGAGACCATAACTTTCCGTTTTTTAAACCACATAGTTGGTTGTGCTGTGTTACAGCAACCTACCAAACTGATACAACTTGTAGTTGCTTCTTACAACATCCCTGCCCCTGACTCATTACCACATTTATAACTCCTACCACTTCCCCAGTCCTCCTGCTCATTCCATTACATCCTCCTGCCCTCTTGCTCTTCCTGGAGCACACTAAGTTCCAGGCTTTGCACCAGCCATTTCCTCTGACTAGAATGGCGGTCTCCTGGATATCCACGTGAGTCCCTCCCTCCATACTGGAGGCCATCTTATCATTAACGCCTTAAACCATTCTACATGAATTAGACCTCCTGGACTCCAGCTCTCCCTAACCCCTTTGCTGCTTTATTTTTTACAAGTACTTCTTTGTAACCTTACATAGTGTTTGTTTACTGCCTGCTTCCCA